AGTAATAATGACTGACTTGAGGCTTGCAGACTAGAGGCTTGCTATAATTCCATCGGAATCAATTAAGTCATATCTACCTTGGGTTGTTTTTAAAGAACTTTTGAGCAATGGTCTAGGACTTCTCATGTTTATCAGATGGGAGGCATCCGGAATCAAAAGGAAGAAAGAGGAGGAGAAGGAGGAGACTGAAAAAGAAGAAATGAGGGGGAAAAAAGGGGAAGGGGGAGGGAAGATGATACAAAAGAAGGAAAAAAGAAGAAAAAGAAATCGGAGAAGAGAATGAGGAGGAAAAAAGAGATGAACAGCAAGAAATTATTCTTGTCTTCATTTCTCCTCTTTTTTCTTCTTTTTTCCTCTTTCTCTACTTCCTTTTATGCCTCCTCATCCTCCCTCGTCGTTTCCCTTCACTTTTTTCTCACTCTTCTTTTCTTCCTCTTTTATTTTTCTCATTCTGTTTCTTCCGAAATTTAATTATTCAACATATCGACGGTCAAACCACCAGACAACGTATTTCGGTTTGCGACGTTGTAGACTTCCTGTCATGCTTTTTTTTTTTAATTGGAAAACCTCTCAACGTCATTTCTTGAAAACTTCCGTGTTTTTTCCTCTCTTTGTGAAGAAAACTTTAGAAAATTTTCAAAAAATGTTATCGATTAGTACTCCTTCAAAAACATAAAATAGTTTTTTAAACATCGCAAACGAGATACGTGGTATGGTAATTTCACCGTCGATATGTCAGAACCCCAAGATCTGAATCCGTCAGACTTAGGTCAAATGAAAAATGGAAAAATTTAAGTAATCTCATTTTTTATGAGCTCCCCGATACTCCATCTGAAACACATCATGCAACAACTAGGAGTCCATCTCAGGTCAATTCTCATTACGTACCATCGACGAAGACAAAATTCGGCCCGGAGCTGTGTTTAAGTAAACCTCCAAAAGAGGCTTCGGTAGGGCGAAAGTTTCGCAGAGCGAGAACCCTCGAATATAACCTGAAAAACGAGGGTATCCTGTGCCGTTTGTAGGCCAAGCATATTCGAGATCCTTGTTTGAACTGCCGCTGAAGCGTTCCTTTGCGAATGGTCGCCGAGTCCTCAGTGCGCACCTAGATTCCTAGAAACTGAAACTAGCCCGGTTTCAGTTTCAACGAGACGCTCGTGCAATAAAGACTGTCTGTACTAAACATGAACCCTGCATGAACACGAGAATGTTGCCGGTAAAATTTCGCCCAATAAAACATTTATTTTCGAGAAATTCAATAAATATTTTTCAAAATGGAGATGTTGCATGTGTGAGGAATTTGCGATTTGACTGTTGGTTCTTATGTAAAAGTTTGCGAGAAACACGATGGTGACACTCTGGAATCAACTCCCAAGCTCAAAAAAAGCTCTCGAATTGAAGCCAAAATGGAGGGGATATCCCACGCTATCCCGAAAGTCCACCTCTACATCAAGACGAACTCTCCATGCAAAGATAGGGAGCAAATACATTATCAGGGTTGCCGTGTTTTCAGTTTTGGAGTCCCCAAATAAAGTGGCAGCCCTGTCAATGTATTTCCTCCCTATCTGTGCATGGAGAGTCTGTCTTGATGTAGATGTGGACTGAGATATCCCCTCCATTTTGGCCTCAACTTGGGAGCTTTTTTTGAGCTTGGGAGTTGATTTTAGAGAAAACCAGTGGTGCCATCGTGTTTCTCACGAACTTTTACATAAGAATCATCAGTCAAATCGCAAATTCCTCACACATGCAACATCTTTATTCTGTGAAAACCTTGTTCCGAGGTACACAAATTTTTCCGCTATGATACATCGTCTCCAAGAAATTTAAAAATGGCGTTTACGGCGTTTTTGCGTCGCACGGCAGAACTTCTTCCCCGTTTTCTTCTAAAGTCAGAGAAGCACGGATCCCTCCAAACCGAAACCTAGCCGCGCTCAACTTTCCAGACACCGTGTGAGAGCATCCTCGGGCCCGGCGGAGCGAGATTTTTATAAGCGCAGCGCAGGGTGAATCTATAAACGGTGAAAAGGCTGCCGGAGGTGGGTAGCGGGCCCGGCAGCGGAAGAAAGGTGGCGAATACTTTTATACGTCATAAAAATGAATAGAATTAAATTAGAGCTGCGCTTTCGTCTTCACAAAAAGGGCTCCGCTTTGTATTTTACAGAGGAGATAAGCGCATAAATCTTCGCTTGCCGATCCGCCCGACGCCCGTGCCCGTTGCAACAGGGGAAATATTTTGTATTCGGGGCACTCGAGGTATTCACTCTGGAGTGGCTATTGGCCCTCGAGTGGCCCCCCCCCCGCCCCTCCGCTCAATCCTCCGTCGGGAGGGAAGCCCAGGGCGGTGGATCCCGCTTAAAACTGATGTCAAAAGCACCGGTAGCTATTTGAAAGTGTACTTTTAAGGTGCGAGGTATCAAACTGTAAAAATGATTTTTTGTCCAAAAAATCAAAGATGAAAGCGGTTTGTGAAGTACTTATCAAGTATGACTCAAAAATGTAAGCTCTCAGGTTTTTAAGTCTGCTCTGCTGTAAAACTGATGTCAAAAGCACCGGTAGCTATTCGATAGTCTATTTTAAGGTGCGAGTGTATCAAACTGTGAAAATGATTATTTGTTCAAAAAAAGAAAAGTCTAAAAAATCCAAGATGAAAGGGGTTTGTGAAGTTCTTATCAAGTGTGACTTAAAAATTTAAGTTCTCGAATTTTTAAGACTGCTCTGCTGTAAAACTTATGTCAAAAGCACCGGTAGCTATTTCAAAGTGTACTTTTAAGGTGCGAGGTATCAAACGGTGAAAATGATTTTTTGTCCAAAAAAAAAAGAAGAGAAATCCAAGATGAAAGCGGATTGTGAAGTTCTTGACACATAAGACTTCAAAATGGACGTATTTCTGCCAGATGGAACTATATGCACTATGTCATGAGCCTTGAGACCCATTAGAATATCGACGGTGTAAGTCGGCAATCACATAACTCGTTTGCGTTGTCTGAAAATCTCCGCCTCAATGTTAATTTTTTAAAGGAGAACAAATTGACATCATTTCTTGAAGTTTATGCAGAATTTTCTTCGCACAGGGAAGAAAAATCACCGCAGTTTTAAAGAATTGCCGTTGAGTAGTGCTCCGTTTAAAAAATATGAAGTATGACAGGAAGTCTGAGACGTCGCAAACCGAGTTATGTGATTGCCGACTTACACCGTCGATATGCATAACAGGACTAACATCATGGACATAGTTGCGTTTGGCAGAAATACGTCCAAATGTAATCTTTCAAATTAAGACTGCTTTGTTTTAAAACTGATGTCGAAAGCAACGGTAGCTATTTGAAACTGTACTTTCAATGTGTGAGTGTATCGAACTGTGAAAATGTTTTTTGTCCAAAAGAAGAAAAGTCAAAAAAGCCAAGATGAAAGCGGTTTGTGAAGTTCTTAATAAATAAGACTTGAAAGTGTAATTTCTCAAATGTTCAAGACTGCTCTGCTTTAAGACTGATGTCAAAAGCACTGATAGCTATTTGAAAGTTTACATTTAAGGTGCGAGGTATCAAACTGTGAAAATGATTTTTTGTCCGAAAAAAAAGAAAAATCTAAAAAAATCCTAGATGAATTCGGTTCGTGAAGTTCTTAAGAAACAAGACTTAAAAATTACGCTTAAGCTCTCAAATGTTTAAGACTGCTTTGCTTTGAAACTGATGTCAAAAGCACCGATAGCAATTTGAAAGTGTACATTTAAGGTGCGAGGTATCAAACTGTGAAAATTATTTTTTGTTCAAAAAAAGGAGAGTCTAAAACATCCAAGATGAAAGCGGTTTGTGAAGTTCTTATCAAATAAGACTTAAACCTGTAAACTCTCAAATTTTTAAGGCTGCTTCACTTTGAAGCTGATGCCAAACGTACCTGCAACTATTTTAATATTGATGACTGGAGTGCAAAAGCATGTCCATTGCGGGATTTCAAAAGTCCACTAATATATAAGTTTTTCAAAGGGGAAAAACCAAAATTTGCTAACAGAGAAGGAAGATCAAGGATGTTTTCAAGAAATTAGGTCATCAGGAAGGGTCAATAATCAGGTCAAAATCAGGAAGTCTACAGCGTCGCAAAAAAAGACACGTGGTTTTGCACTTCGGTCTGTGATATACTTTTCAGGTGGGAATGTATCGTTTTGTAAAGTAAATTTCAGATCACCGCTAAAAATGCTCATTTGTCTAAAAGGAAATGGAAGAAAGTAAAATCTGAACTCGTAAAATCGGTTGTAGTTTATGTGTTTGAAATGCCTTATCAAGCGTTTGATTTTTTAACCATTCGCAAATCGGCCAAGAATTTAAGGAGTAGTAAAGTATCCAAAAAAATAAATGAAAGGGGGACTTTTTCTAGGCGAGGTAGTATAGTACGCAAGTACGCGTAGTATGCACTTTCACATTTGCAGTCAATCAAATCTTTTCCTATTTAAATTTTGAACGAAGGGATTTGATCTTTGTATGTGCGCCTCTTTATCTATCATCAGGTAGATTTCTGTCAAAAACTTAATTAGGTACTTGAGACAAACGGTGAGATTATAAGATTTGACAAAGTAGTTATGAGATAATGGATGAATGCGGAGAAAAGTTAACTACTTCAAAGTGAATATGATGAACATTAATACAACTGATGCCTGCACACTTCAGAATAGCTTCTGTTGTGGGAGTGGTTATCGTGAGAAACAAGTAATTTAAGATAAAAGTAGCGAGATAAATTTCTTTACAATAAATTAAAATTAATCAGCTCAGCAAAAAGCGCCTAACTTTTACCAAAAAGCTGATTAACATAAATTTACAAATATGCGAGTGTGTAATAGTATATGTTTGAGGAATAAAAAAGCGGGGACTAACAATTTTGACCTAATTAAATAATGAGTTTGATGAGATCGCTTAAAATTTAAGCGCGCAGACGTATTGTGGATCTGCACTGCAAAAATTAAAAATATATGGAGGAAATAGATAGCTCTCAATGGCAAATAAATTAAACTGTTTTTTCAATAAAAATATTTTTTCATAAATATTACAATGTAATTTAGAAGTCATTCATCAAGCGTTGACAAGTTTGTGACATAAGTCAGAAAATTTGCGGTGTAGCTACAAGACTAACGAAAAAATAGATATTAATTGAGGGGCTGGGAGGGCAAGGCGCATAAGTGCAGTTTTTGATATTTAAAGAAACACATGTTTAAAGTTTCGAAATTATGTGGAGCCTCGTGGCAGAAAGAAAGTTCCAACTGACTTTTTAGTGCTTAAAAAGTAGAATTTCGGAGCGAATTTTTCTTAGTCTATGCCTTGAGACTAGTTTCACTCGAAATCATTGAAATCTCAATTTTTTCAAAAACTGCACTTATGCGCCTTGTCCTCCAAGCCCCTCGATTATGACCTAGAATGCTAAACTAATAACTTGGATATTTATTTACTAATTTAGTTTGAACAAATGTAAATTTTATTAGTATGACATGACACGATTTTGAATTCCATAAAAAATCCTGTAGAATAATTAACCGTTTTGTAAATTAAAAGATTTCAGTGAAACTTGTTCTCAAGAAAGTTTTTGTTCCCTCGAAAAAATGTATGAATTGGAGGAACCATAACAATGAACTTCGTAGATACGTTGCTTGAAAATGCAGCTTCAATTTCAATTTTTTTGACTACCATTAAACTGTCATTTGATGTTTTTGAAATACTGATCACGGATCACAATTGACTTACTACTGGAGAAAAACAACTTCATACAATTACAAGTACTATTTTAATCTTTGGTCTTTTTTTATCCAAGCAAAAGTGTCATTTCAGGAAATATATTACCATTACAAAACCTCTCATCATTGAAACAAGACTCTTAAGTATTGTAACAGAAGTCTCTTCCGGATAATAACAGTTTACGACGAATACGAGGAAGTCACGTGGATAAAAAATACCTAACAAGGTTGCTTGTAATGATAAGACCATATTTCTTCGGTATAATTCTCACTGTGGTGCAAAGACAACAAAAAAATATTTTAGTGTGTTAACTAACATATTTTCAAACTTAAACGTACCACTCATTAAGTTAATAGAAATAAATAACTAACTAATTTATTAAAAAGCAGATCCAATCGAAAGATTCGTTTTTGTGTACCTGTACCGTCATTGTACATCTTCTCACACAAAACCGTCGGGTTTCGCACAACTTCCGTAAAACAGAAAAATCAAGGATTTAAAATATGTGTTTATGATGGAAATAATTGTTCAATTCAGTCTCTCTGTACCTCATCTAAAAATTTCTGACCATTATCGCTTAGGTCATCTACTTTCTTCATGTGTCAGAAAATTTTGGAATAGTCACAAACTCACACACACACCCTTACGGTTATTCTCATTGTGTAAAATACTTTTGGCCGTTTTTCAACTGTCAAAACTCACGGAAAAATTTGCTTTGCTGACGCAAAGGTGTGGTAAAAAAATTATTCATAGTCTGGAACATGATTTTTGTGATCATATTTACATTATGTTATGTCCATTTTGCTGTGTACGTCACCATCATCCAGTAATTTGCCGTGCCCATTGCATGAGCGTCAGTCATTAAAGTCTACTCATATAAATTGGCTCGCATTTAACATAAGGGAACCTACTCGATCATTATGTTGTAAAATACTGTGCCTTCGTCTTTATTTGAAAAAAATTACGCCTTACATAGCAAATAATTTTTGACCAATCCCCCCCTTTGTTATTTTTAAAGTAAAATAATCGCGTTTCCGTTACTGTACATATTATTAGTATGTAAGCACAGGAAAAGTTGCGCGATTTTAAAAACACTTAATTAGGTTGGCTCCTTTATGTGAAAATACAGTCCAATTAAAAAAACATCCTTAGTTAGGTGGCTTTCTACCGTTAGATTAAATTTAATATCCAGCTTTTTCATCTCCTTGTATGTGGATGGACAAAAAGAAATTTTGTACTATATGCGCTCTATTCAGATCACATTCCTCCAAAAAATGATAGAATAAATTGAACGGCAAGTTAAGTAGTTGAAGGAACATGACTCCATCTCTTTTAATAGAAAATTCTTTACAAATATACGAATGCGCGGTTTGTGTAAAAAATGTTGCTGATTTTTGCGCAGACGCAATTAGAAGAAAAATAAGCGTAACTTTCAGTTCAAACTACCTAACAAAATTTCAGTCTACAACAAAAAAAATTGAACAGTTGTAATGCAGTCACTTCTTTTCGTCTGAATAACGAAATAATGTAATGTGTGTGACACAGATTATGACGATTTTATCTACAGCGGCGCCTGGCGAGCTAGGCCGTCAGCTCCGCGCATTTTCTCCGAGTCATGTCCCTCGTTAATGTTTTTTAAGAAGAATGGGGAAAAAACCTATCTCCTCAGTCCACGTTCTTTATGATGAAACTGTCGCATTCACTTGAGTACCCTGTAAAATTTGTTGGACGACAGAATCTTTCAGATGATCGCAAAATTTTTTGAGACCAATAGTCCCAGCGTAAAGTTTCTTATTGCCCCTGGCCACAGAGAGTGACAGCTCAGTTTTATTGCTTATGAGTGTGAGTTTAATGTCCAAAATACTGAGTTCAAGAAAGAAGTCTTTGTTAGGAACATCGTTGTGAACAATAATGCTGATGACGGATCCAATAGATTCGTTTAAGTTTTCGGGAAATAGATTGAGCAGTGCGGTTATGAAGAGGTCCAGAAGATAATTGTTGCAGACATTCGAAGCTACTCTTCCAACGGGCGAGGTATCGTTCCCAGGTGTGGGAGTCACAGTTGTAGGAGCCTCAGTTGACTGAGGAACCTCATCTGTCGTAGCAGTTGAGGCCTCAGTCTCAAAAATTGAAGCGGCACAATGGACTGTGGCGATGAAGGCAGTTAGGACAATTGATGCTATGATAAGCCTCATTCTGTTCGGCGTATGCCTGTGCGCGGCTCTGGAACAAAATACAACAGATAGTAGAATATTTGTTTTCTGCAGCCTAATTCTGTAATTTCTCGCGCATGGAGCAATAGGATTTAAATTAGTTTAAGATTTAGGACATACATTTTTTGGAAATTCAAATTGGACTTAAAGGCAGTGGACCTACAAATTAGTGGACATTAGGTCCGTGAACCTTTCGTGGGCGATTCACCAATTTTATACTAGCAATAAAAAATTGGCGGTGGTAGAGTCAAACGAAGGGTTTTTTTTCTAAAAACATTGGCAAAGTAACTATTTAACCGTTAATTCTACATTTGCAAGAAATAAACCAGGAACACTAACTTCCGTGTCAAGGTGTTATTGAAATGAATTAAATTAATATAGTAGTGTACCGTACGAGCTCTTTCACCGGGAGGTCATCATCAGTGAGTCTAGTATTATTTTAAAATTATGAATACATTTGTATGACACTTTGACACGACATTTGTTTATTTATATTTATTTATACCATGCCTACATTGCAGTATATGTTACTAATTTTTCTTTTAACGTGTCGTAATGTGTTCCACGGGGTGGTTTTCCGATTTCGACAGAGACGCCTAAATCTATAGATCATGCTTTCTCAGGTGAAAAACTATGTTTCCGTACTATAACAATCTATCTAGAAATAAATTTAATAAAAAAGAAATGAGTGTAGTTCCCTTTGATTTGATTCAGTCGCACATAGTTCCTTTAAAGATAAATATTTGCAATTTTAATTGAGGTGTTTGGAAGACAGGGCGCATAAGTGCAGTTTTTGAAAAAAATTGAGGTATTCAAGTGAAACTAGTCTTAATGCATATTCTATGAAACATTCGCTCCCAAAATTCCAATTTTTAAGCATCAGCAAGTCAGTTTGAACTAGCTTTCCGCCATAAGGATCCATGTTATTTCGAAACTTCAAACACGTATTTCTGAAAGTAGCAGAAACTGCACTTATGCGTCTTGTCCTCCAAGCCCCTCAATTATGACCAACTTTTTTTTCAAAAAGTCCTGGGCTGAAAAATAATTTTCAAGGCACGTGGTGGTTTTAAATGCCATCGGTACTAAAATGCGGTATTTTCTTTTTCAAGCATTCTGATATTTGACGGAATCACACTTTTCGATATGAGCTTATACTTACTGGTTGAAAATCGCAGATTTTACGAACAACGATCAAAGCACGCGAGGAACTGTCTCTTCTCTTCTAACTTTCTCGGCCTTAAAAAGGATCTTTGAATCGCATATTCATTATGTAATGAGCAATTGAACGTATATATACCAAAAGGAACTATATCTCCCGCAAACCCTATGTACATAGTTCCTTTTAGCATAAATGAGTCCAATCTACCTTTGGTCTTATCTCCCACTCGCATACGTAATTGCGAATAACTGAAGTGCTGATACTTATCTTTTCTATAAGTGGCACTTTTGGGAATTTTAGTTTATCCAGTTGTTACGTTATATTAGCTTATTAATATTAGCAGTCAAGATCTCGTGACTTCTGTTTTTTCAAGGAGGTGTGTCTATGGCTGTTGATGAGCCCTGAACAGTTTAAAGATGTATTCCTTACAGGGGTCATGCTTACGGTGAGATAAAGTCGAGCCTCTTTGCTTTTGGGGAAAAAATTACTTAAAATGTATTTGCAGAGCAGTTTAGGCAGTATCAGGCCGATAACTTTCGGCGGGAAGAGATTTAATGTTTATTATGCCAAGACGCGTTATCTCCTGGATTAAATGATCGTTCTTTCAATAAAGTTTAAACTCATTTTTTCGTAATAACTAAAAGTCACGTGTTAGTTTAAAACTTAAATAATTCCATGAACTTATGTAATTTTGTATTACTCTTGTCCATTTTTCGAGCCAACAGGATTAAATATAGTGAATTTATCAGACGCGCAATGTCCTTTGTTCCCATGCATAAGCTTTTTTCGCATTTTCAAATTTCCCGCGTCTATGGACGCTTTTTTCTTCGTTCCAGAAAGAGGTGGAAAATACCTGACCTCGATAGACAAACATTTTGAAAACTGTTTTCAATCTTTTTTACGTGTGCTCTCTGTTATTTTTAAGCATTTTCTCTTTAAATACACAAAAAAAAAAATGCAAACATGAATTCTTTTGAAACCACTGAATCCAATCTTTTTAAAATTCGGGGCAACTCGGGGCACATTTTATATATTTAGGGCAGATTTTCATAAAATTAAATTTCGTAACTCACACAAAAAAATTGGAAAAATACAACATTTTTTCTAAATTTCTCTTTGGGTAAAGTAGCCTTCCAATGACAAAAAAAAAAAAAAATCGTGGCCGTGACAGCGGAGTGTTTGAAAATACGCATTTCAGATCGTGGAAGTTGTGCGTTAAAGAGTGGATTTCAGAATTTTTGAAGTATGCTCATCGGTTTTACCTAAATGAAGCCTTAATTGGACTAAATTTTGCAATTTGGAACTATAAATTCCAGCCCGGTTTAAAAATAACGTATGTGCCAGTAGTTTCCCTAAGCACATAAGTGTTTTTCCAGAAGAGGCAGAATTTATAGTTCCAAATTGCAAAATGCAGTCCAATTTGCCTTTGCGTGCAACTCACCCATTCCTGAGAAACGTTCTAGGGAATGAAGTTAGAAACCTTTTCCAGGGAGCTCAAAGCAAAATTGATTTCACTGAAGGTTCTTTGCTGAAGGTTCTTTGCCCTGAAGGTTGTTTGCTTTTGATTTTAAAATTAATTTGCACTTGTGGTGAATACACTTGCACGTTCATGCACTTGTTTTTGCTTATACATGCGTCATATTTTATGATTTCAGGTGCGAGAATGGGGGAACGAGACTGTGACATTCAGCACTCTTCACTTCGTGCCTCGGCCGGAAGATGACGCTCAAATCTTGAGATGTCGAGCAATAAACAAAGTCGTAGAAAATTCAATATCTGAAGATCACATTAGTCTGAATATAGTTTGTGAGTACCCTTTATTCATAATATCTTAGTCAGCGATTTATTTACAATTTACTTGCGATTCATGTAAGATCCAGAAAAGTCCCAACGATTTTGAAAACACGCTAATCGCGTTGGCACCTGTTTCCTAAATGTGATCCAAATAATAATCAGTCACGTAAATTGTTGGAGTGGTGGCAAGCATTGTTTCACCTTTTTTCGTCCTGGAGAAGTAATTGGTCGGATTCGGTAGTGATTCGATGCATCGTTTGGTTCAAAACAATTGAACGTAACCTCAAACCGAAGTTTTAAGATATTGGCCAGAGAGGCTGAAAATGAGAAATTTCGTTGCAATTTCACTCCTCTTAATCAATTAGTATGCATACGAATCAAACATTTATCACAAAAAAACCCGTCCCGTCAGATTACTCCATTGAATTTTGAAGCTATGTCTATGTTTTGAACCAATCGATATCAATACAATCTCAACCGTTTGATGTATCGAATACGATCTATTTGATCGCGCCAATCCAAAAAAATCGATAACCACATTCGATTACTGAATCGGTCGATAGTGGAGATGTTGCATGTGTGAGGAATTTGCGATTTGACTATTGCTTCATATGTAAAAGTTCGCGAGAAACACGGTGGTGCGATTGGTTTTCTCTGAAATCAACTCCCAAGCGCAAAAAAACTCTCAAGTTGAGGCCAAAATGGAGGAGATATCCCACGCTAACCTGAGAGTCCACCTCTACATCAAAACAAACTCTCCATGCAAAGATAGGGAGGAAATACATTGACAGGGCTGCCATTTTATTTGGGGACTCCAAAACTGAAAACACGGCAACCCTGCTAATGTACTTGCTTCCTATCTTTGCCTGGAGAGCTTGTCTTGATGTAGACGTGTACTCTCAGGATAGCGTGGGATATCCTCTCCATTTTGGCCTCAACTTGAGAGCTTTTTTTAGAGCTTGGAAGATGATTTCAGAGAAAACCAGTGGCACCATCGTGTTTCTCTCGAATTTTTACATAGAAATCAGTAGTCAAATCGCAAATTCCTCATACATGCAACATCTCCATTCGTCAAGTTTTCGCACGCAAGAAGAAATCCACAGAAAAAAACCGCACGGGTCAATCAGAATCACAGAGCGAAATCCACCGATCCTTTTCCCCCACTGGGGGGTCTTTCGTTTAAACCTTTTTTTTTTTGGGGGGGGGGGCAAAAGGGGGGGGCAAAA